ACTTTAGTACGATGCAATCGAAGCCACTTGATCTCGATGTGGATGCATCCAGACGAGGCATACTCAGCCGTGGAGCTTGGCACTACTAGCGAGCACTGGGGTCCTTGCGCCGTGGACGCCGTCCTGCCTTGCCTCGCCTTGCCTTGCCAGGGTGTGGGCCCAGGTTCGATCTCTGGGTACCTACCTGCTACCTAGGTATCTTGGGTATATCTCGTGCCCATGTTCAATAGCCCCACCACAACATAGTGCAAATGACGGAAGGGAGGGAATCCTTGTTGTGCAGCAGCGACGCATGAATAACATTGGCAAATGGAGATGAATTCCCGAGTGAGGGGTCCAGAAGTGACGTGGAGAGCCATTCAGAGGTGGGAAACAAAATGTTTTCTTTGGGCTTGTTTACTTTTCGGGGCGTGGATGCGAGGAAACAATGCGGAACCGTTGGCGTTGTCCAAGACCCTGGAGAAGAAATCATAACCCCATTGTCGTCGCTGTCGCTCGCGAGCTTCATGTTCTGTTCACTGTTCACTGATCTCCTGCCTACCTATGCAGCCACTGTACAATTGCACACCAGTGCCCGCCAAGGTACCTACCTGACTTACTTGCCTTATCCCACCCGCCGGTGCACCGATCTCAGTGCATCCGCCAGTGCAGAACGCGCCAAGGGACCACTAAATTACAGCGACTCAGCGGGCTCTCCCGGCAACGCGGGCCAGTCAGGTGCCAGCGGCCGGACCACCCAGAATCGCAAGGCGGCCATCCAGCCAGTCAGCCCCAAAAAAAGGCCTGGAGGAGAGTGTGACCTGACGCCAACGAACGAGAAAGCACAGAGACAGAGAGAGCGAGATCCATCCCGTCCAGTGACTCCAACCCGGTTGGGCTTCTGTCCTGCTCAACATGCGGTCACTCAACACCAACTCGACATCGGCATCGCATTCGAGAGATCCATCGCCGGCACGTTCGTCCGATCTACTGCGCACGCGTCGATCCTTCCTTCCCAGCAAACAGACACCCACAGCCACCCGGAAGCCTTCAACGACCACCGCCCTGAGACCGCGCATCACCCCCCGAACCAGCACCGCCAGCCCGTCCACCACCACCACCACCACTACCACCTCCTCTCCTCCTCCTCGCACCCAAAACAACAACAACACCACCAACCCGAGCGCAGCATCGACTGCCCGACATCGACACTCTCGTCCACCCTGCGCCAGCCGCTCCGGAAGCTGTCCCACAATGCACTGAACACGACGCCTGTCGTCCGCCCCTCCATCGCTCCCAAGCTAAAGTCTTTGAGCGACATGCCGCCACCCCACGATCAAAAGGGAGCCCACGCAGCCCCCCGCCAGCCCGTCCTCAGCGCCTCGGCCGCCAAGGCCATGGGCAGAGCACCATTGACCCCCAAAATTGCCAGCAAGGCACAACAGCATCACCAGCAGCCGCCCGTCGTCACACCTCTCGCACGCCGAAAAAACAGAACTCGGCCATGGAGTCCGCCGCCTCAGGGGCAAGTGGGGGCCCTGGTGGTGGTGGGGTCAAGGACGACATCACGAGCCCCGTGTCGGCATTCCTGAGCCACAACATCACGCCACGGTCGGGAAGCAGGCAGACCCGCGTCGACAGCGCCAGCAGCACGCCGACCGGTACGCCGAATCCAGAACGAAACAGCGATTGGGATACTCGGTCGGCCTTTGCGTCGGCCTTTGACGGCGACATGAGCAGGAAACACGTCGTGACATTCAGCCCGCCATCTGTTGGTGGCAGCCGGAATGATGCCTCCGACTCCAAGTTTTTGT